TTGCCTGAGCCCACAGGTTCGAGACCAGCCTGGGCAACTTGGTGAGACACTGTCTCTACAATAAATCAAAAATTAGCCGGGCATGGCAGCGTGCACCTGTAGTTCCGGTTACTTGGAAGGCTGAGGCAGAAGGATTGCGGGAATCCAGCAAGTAGACTCATTCCTGGGTGACGGAATAAAATTCCAACTCAAAACAAAACAAAACAAAAACAACTTCATGACCAAGTAGAGTTTATCCCAGGAATGCAGGATTAGCTTAACATTTGCAAAAATGTGACTCAATATGCTAACAAACTAAAAAGAAAAACTACACGATCATTTTAATACATTAAAAGCATTTGACAAAATTCAACTCTATTATTATTATTATTATTATTATGAGTCTGAGTCTCACTCTGTCACCCAGGCTGGAATTCAGTGGTACAATCACCTGCCACCATACCTCACCTGCTGGGTTCAGGTGATCCTTCCACCTAAGCTTTTCAAGTAGTTGGAACTATAGGCGTGTGCCACTATGCCTGGCTAATTTTTTGATTTATTGTAAAGATGAGGTTTTGCCAAGTTGCCTAGGCTGATCTATAATACCTGGCCTCAGGCAATCCTCTAGCCTCCAACTTCCAAAGAGCTGGGATTACATGCATGAGCCACTGCAACTGGACAACATTTATTCCTGATAAAATCTCTCAGCAAACTAGAATTAGAAGGAATTTCTCCTTTTGATAAAGTGCATCTATGAAAAACCCATGCATCCACTCTCAGCACTTCTATGCAATATCATACTGGAGGTTCTAGTTAGTGCAATAGGCAAGAAAAATAAATAAATGTCATCCAGTTTAGAAAGGAAGAAGTAAACTGTTTTTGTTCATAGATGATATCATTATGTATGTGGAAAATCCAATGGGATCTATTTAAAAAGCAACTAGAACTGGTAAGTAATTTTAGCAAGGTTGCAGGATGCAAGATAAATATACAAAAATCAAGATCTATATATAGGTTAAGTATCTCTTACCTGAAATGCTTGGGACCATAAGTATTTCAGATTCAGGATTTTATCAGATTTTGGAATATTTGCATATACTTAACCAGTTGAGAATTCCTAATCTGAAAATTCAAAATCTGAAATGCTCCAATGAACATTTCCTTTAAGTCTCATATAGGCACTCAAAACGTTTTGGATTTTAAAGCATTTCAAATTTCAGATTTTCGAATTAGGGATGTTCAATTTGTACTTGCAAAAATCAGAAATTGAAGTAGAAAAATACCATTTACAATAGTATAAAAATATGAAAAACTTAGGGATAAATGTGACAACAGATGTAGAAAACTTATACAACGAAAAGCTATAGAATATTACTGAAATTAAAGACATAAATACTGAGCTACATCTCGTGAATGTGTTAGGAGATTCAATATTTTTAGTATGTCAAAATGTTCCCCAATTGATCTAAGATTCAATACAACTCGGTAGACTTAATTTTTTTGGTAAAAATTCACAAGCTGATTTATAGAGAAACGCAGAAGATCCACAACAGACAAAACAACTTTGTAAAAGGAGAACCAAGTTAGAGGGTAACAGTATCTAATTTCAGAAATTATTCTATAGCTCCAATAAATCAAAGTAGCATGGTATAGCTACAAAGGTAGACAAATGGATCAACGGATCAGAGCAGAGAGTCTAGAAATAACCTGACTTTTGACAAAAGTGCAAAGGAAATTCTGTTGGAAAAGGACAGTCTTGCCAACAAATAGTGCTAAATCTGACAATTGGATACTCACACGCAAAAAAACCAAAAAAACCAAAAATTGAATCCATTCTTTGTACCACATACAAAATGGATCATGAAGCCTAATGTAAGACCTAAAACTATAAAGCTGCTAGAATAAAACATGTGTTCTTAGTCACTACACTATATTATCAACAACGAGGCCGGGCTTGGTGGCAGCTTGTAATCCCAGCACTTTGGGAGGCCGAGGCAAATGGATTCCCTGAGACCGTGGGTTCGAGACCAGTTGGCAACTTGGCAAGACCTCGTCTCTATAATAAATAAAAAATTAGCCAGGCATGGTAGTATACGCCTATCGTTCCAGCTACTTGGAAGGCTGAGGCAGAAGGATCACCAAAACCCAGCAGGTCGATGCTGTGGCCATGAGCATGCCACTGCATTCTAGCCTGGGTGATGGAGTGAGACTCCAACTCAAAAAAATTAAAAAATTAAAAAAAAAATAAATTGATAAATTGGACTTCATAAAATTAAACACTTCTGTCTTTCTTATTTTTTTTTGAGTTGGAGTCTCACTCTGTCACCCAGACTGGAGTGCAGTGGCCGCTCCCGGCCACCGCAGCCTCGACCTGCTGGGCTCTGGCGATCCTTCCTCCTCAGCCTTCCAAGTAGCTGGAACTACAGGTGCGCGCTACCATGCCCAGCTAATTTTTGATTTATTGTAGAGATGAAGTCTCGCCAAGTTGCCCAGGCGGGTCTCGAACCCGTGGGCTCAGGTACTTCTGTCTTTCAAGATACTGTTTAGTTGATGAAAAGACAAGTCATATACTGAGGGAAAATACCTGCAAAGCATACATCTGCTAAAGCACCCATATCTGGACTATATTAAGAATTCTTCCCAGTGCTCTAGAAGGCCAAGTTGGGAGAATTGCTTGAGGCCAGGAGTTCAAGATAGCCTAGGCAACATAGCAAGACCCCAGCTCGACCAAAAAAAATGAAATAAAAAAAAAGTAACCAGGTGTGGTGGCACATAACTGTGGTCCCAGCTATTTCGGGGGCAGAAGCAGGAGGATTGCTTGAGTACAAGAATTCAAGGCTGCAGTGAGCTATGACTGTATCCTTGTGCTCCAGCCTGCGTGACAGAGCAAAACCCTGACTCTAATAAAAGACATAAAGAATTCTCTTGTTTCAACAGTAAGAAAACAACCCAATTAGAAAACAGACAAAATATTTTTAATAAACACTTACCAAAGAAGATATACAGATGGCAAACACGAGAGAAGCTCATTAGCTATTAGGGAAATGCAAAGACATCACCATATACCTATTAAAATGGTTAAAATTGGCCAGGCTCGGTGGCTCAGCCTGTAGTCCCAGCACTTTGGGAGGCTGAGGCGAGAGAACTGCCTGAGCCCATGGTTTTGAGACCAGCCTGGGTAACTTGGCAAGACTTCATCTCTACAATAAATAAAAAATTAGCCAGGCAAGGTAGCATGCGCCTGTAGTTCTGGCTACTTGGAAGGTTGAGGCGGAAGGGTCACCTGAGCCCAGCAGGTTGACGCTGGGGTGGCTGTGAGCAGGTCACTGCACTCTAGCCTGGCTGACAGTGAGACCCTGACTCAAAAAAAAAAAGGTTAAAATTTAAAAAGACTGACCATACTAAGAGTTGACAAGGATGTGGAGAAACTTGAACACTGATAGTGAGAATGTAAAATGGTATAACCACCTTGGAAACATTTGCCAGTTTCTTAAAAAGTGAAACACACATAATGGGTACAGAGTTTCAGTTTTGCAAAATGAAGAGTTCTGTGAATGGATGGTGGTGATGGTTGCAGAACAATGTGACTACACATAATGCCACTGAACTATAGCTTAAAAATGGTTAAGATGGCAACCTTTATGTTACATGCATTTTACTACAAATTTAAAAAAATTAAACATACGCTTACCATGTGATTTACCTATGCCACTCTTAGGTATTTATTCCAAGAGAAAAGAAAGTATGTGTCCATACAGTGATTTGTACATGAATATTCATAGCAATTTATTTGTAATAGCCAAAATCAGAAGCAACCCAAAAGTTCAATAACAGGTGAATGGATAAGCAGACTGTGAACTATTTATACAATGGAATAATACTGAACAATGAAAAGGAATGAACCTTTATTATTCATATAAACATGACGAATCTCTAATTTTGCTGAGTGAAAGAAGTCAGACAAAAAGAAAGTATAAACTCTGTGATTTCTTTTAGATAAACCTCTAAAAAAAAAGGAAACTAATCTACAGTGACAGGAGGGATTACCAGGGATAGGAGGAAACTTTTGGGGATGATGGATATGCTCACTATTTGGATGGTTGTGATGATTTCAGAGGGGCAAACACATGACAAAACTTATCAAATTGTACACTTTAATTATGTGCAATTTAAGCTAATTATACTTTAATAAAGCTTTTAAAAATAATACAGATTATTTAAACTTTGACACCTTGAAAGAAATGCAAATACTCAAGATCACCACACATGAATGTCATACGGTTAGGTTTTTCTGTAGTTAATTTTTAACTTTACTGTATTTTATTTACTATATTTTATTACTATTGTATTATTGTATTTTATTTCCTGTAAACTTTTAGTTAAAGGGAAAAGGGTGAAAATGCCTCCTTTGTAATTAAAAGTTAAGGGCCAGGCGCATTGGCTCACGCCTGAATCCCAGCACTTTGAGAGCCCCAGGTGGGAAGACTGCTTGAGCCCAGGAGTTTGAGACCAACCTGGGCAACATAGTGAGGCCTCATCTCTACAAAAAATTATAAAAAATTTGCTGGGCATGGTGGCGCATGCCTATAGTCCTAGCTACTCCAAAGGCTGAGGCGTAATGATAGCCTGAACCCAGGAGGTTGAGGCTGCAGTAAGCCATGATCATACCACTTCACTCCAGCCTGGGTGACAGACTGAGACCACAACTCAAAACAAACAAACAAGCAACAAAAAACCAGCATGGGCTACAGTTCGTTAAAACTTATCTGAAAGACCACCAAATAATAAACACGAGGTAGGGTAGGTTTCCAAGTATTATATAAGCCAGTTAATTGTGGATTCATTCTGTTCTTGACATGATGTCTTCTCCTTATCTTAAGACCTCAGATTTTTTTAAAGGAAACTCCAAAACACAAATGGTGTACTGGCTATATTTTAAAAGCTGCTCTCTCTTCCACATAGGGTAGCATAAGCAACACAATAGGAGAGCACTTTTGTCTTCATATTCAGTTTTATCTTACCCATCAATTTGTTGACATTTTGTTTCTGTAGGTGGCCAATGAAGTGCCATTTGATCTCAGGACACGAAGACAGAATCTGAAGAGAAAAAGGTAACCATGTTTGACTCAGATTTTATGGAGGTCTTGCCAGCTCAAATACCTTGCACACTTCTTGTGACCTTTCACATCTACACTGCTCCTTAGATGTAATAAACTGCTATTATACCTTCACTTGGCCTCCTAATGAGGTAAAAGGACACTTAGAGGAAAAATCTAAGGCTTCTGTTCTGTTTCCGTTCCTTGTTTCCATCAACTCCCTTCATCTTTAAGATATCACTCATCAGCCGGGCTCGGTGGCTCAGCCTGTAATCCCGTGCCTTTGGGAGGCTGAGGTGAGTTGATTGCCTGAGCCCGCGGGTTCGAGACCCACCTGGGCAACTTGGCAAGACCTCATCTCTACAATAAATCAAAAAAATTAGCCAGGTGTGGTAGCGCGCACCTGTAGTTCCAGCTACTTGGAAGGCTGAGGCAGAAGGAACGCCGGAGCCCAGCAGGTCGAGGCTACGGTGGCTGGGAGCAGCCACTGCACTCCAGTCTGGGCAACAGAGTGAGACTCCAACTCAAAAAAAAAAAAAAAAAAGATATCACTCATCAAGGATGAACTGATTTAAGCTTTCAAATCTCAAAAGGATCCAAGATTACAGCAAGCTAAAATCACCATTCCAAATAGCTACAAAAGAGACAACTGTTGTCTGAATAAAGAAAAAAAATCTAGCTAAGAATTATTTGGGGTTCAAGGTGTAAGTGGACACTTCTAACCTCAGCCCAACTTCCTGCTCTAAAGCACAACCACCACCACGGGTCTAATTTTCACCCAAAGAGCCTAGATTTATATAAAATTTAAAGAATTCAGCTATCCACTTACTTTAGGATTTGATGCTTTTTCTAGCAGTTCCTGAACCTAAACGATAAAAAGAGAACAAGTCAGAAGTCTAGCAATCAGGATGTTTCCAAAAGTACTTTGGGAAGGGCTCTTACATAGTTCTCCCCGAAGGTGCGCTGGCCATGACTGTAGGCCTCAATCACCATGTCTGCAGGTTTGGTTTTGCTGACTGCTACTAGCCGGGGCTGGATGGCTGGGAGATCCTGCCAAGAAAGAAAGAGCCACATGAGTGAACATTTGGGAATATTATCCCAGTGAGTCCCATAGGACAGATCCTGTAAATAGATCAGCATAGATCTCAACTTGGCATTTGGTAAGATCCATTTTCCTAACACTGCAGGCAGATCAATATCAGATAATTGGAATCAAATGTCTTTTACATGCATGCTTTTACATGCATCTTAATTGTTTATTAGCTACCTTAATACAATACTTAACAGAAGACATTTCTATCTCAGGGTGCCTGGCAAGTTAAGGCAGTATTTCTTTAAAGTATGGTCTTTGACCAATTGTATCAGCATTACCTGTGTCCCACTCCAGAACTAATAAACCTGAATTTCTGGGGCTGAACAAGCTTTCCAGATGATTCTCATGCATACCAAGTTGGAGAATCACTTCATTAAGGGAAGCCACTTCTGACTCCTGAAGTCCCGAGATTAACAGTTTTGGAAACTTATTCTGGACTTGGTGTGATTATTAACGTTTTCCCATTCTCTCTAAAAGTGGCTGCTTAGGGAAGCCATGTAATTGATAATTCAATATGTAAATTAAGAACTAGTGGCATTCCAGCCTGGGCAACATAGTAAGACCTCGTCTCTATAAAAATAGAAAAATGATGCAGGCCTGGTGGCACAAGCCTATGGTCCCAGTTACTCATAAGACTGAGGCAGAAGGATCGCCTGAGCCCAGGAGGTTGAGGCTGCAGTGTGCCATGACTGCACCACTGCACTCTAGTCTGGGCAACAGAGTGAGACCCTGACTCAAAAGAAAACAAACAAAAAAGCCAGAACAAAAAACTAGTGGTAGGACTGAGACCAGAACACAAAAAATCCTGGACTAGCTGACATTATCCCATAGCAACTAAATCCACACAGAGGCAAAAAGAGATTAATTTATCCTTACATGGTTCAGTCTTCATGTATCCCGTCACACCCTGGGATTTTCACAGAATCACAGTAATTCTGAGCTGAAGGAGTCAGGTCAATTAGCAAAATGTCTCCTCTTTCTTCCTTTTGAGGGGCTGCGTTACCAGTCTCTTTTATGAGACCATGTCAAGACTCCTAGGTTGTGTTAATGAATTGATGGTAGTGGAGGACCTGGCTGCCTGTTCCAGAGAAAGTGGAACAGGGAGCCCATCTGCCTGAGTGCTTTCCTGGTAGAACCTCCCAGAGTGATGTTTATTAAGGGAATCCCTACATTTCTCTTGGAAAATCACAGAACATTAACACCAGAAGAGAGTTTAGAACTTTCAGAGCTTATCCCATTACCAGTACTGAGAGGAAACTGAGGACCAGAATAAATGACTTGTTCAAGGTAACATCCACTGAGTAGTCAATATAGGTCTATAGCAGAAAGACTATACTGCAGGTCGTGTATCTTCAGGCCAGTATTCTGAGTTCTGATACCATAAATGATTGATCAGAGAAAACTTTGACCTCTCTGTTCAGGTCTATCTCACTCTACACTATTCAGTTTAAACTTGCGCTGTGGTGAGTAGATTTTGATCCTTGGTCTAATGAAAGTCCAAGAGGAGGCAAAATACACATATGCAAAAGAAAAATTCTCCCCTTAACATGCTTAGGATGCGATGTCAGGCATCCTGCCCCAGACGTCAAGTGCAGCAATCCCAGTGCCTGCGGAGCGCGGCAATCCACCCTCACCTTGGCCAGGAAGCTGGCATTTTACTGAGCACCTACTACCTGTCAGACGTCGCCACACACGTGATCGCGGGGGGACCTGGCCTCCTTTGGTACTCTTGAATCAGACGTTTTCTTGCAGCCCGTGGGCACAGGCCTGGCCCTTCTCGCGTCCGTTGAGGCTGTCTACATCTACCTCTACACGAAGCAATGGGTAAATGACCGCAATGCCTGGACACTAGTCATTTTCCCGACGCAGCGGGTGCCTTCTGCTCCAACTTGAGTAACCTCCAGAAAACCGAACAGATTCGTGCGGAGGAGGCCGGGAAGCCCTTCGCTAGCCTTTCGGGGGCTTTGCAGCCTCCGCCCACGCCTCGCGGTCGGCGGATCCCGCCTCTCCGGGAGACCCCTCTGCGTCACCGTGACGACCTGTTCCCACGCAGGTGTCCCTCTCCTCAAAGGGCCCACCGTCCCACGCAGCCACCCTCCTCACCCGCGGCCGCCGCGCCACTGCCTGCTGCACGCGCTCGTTCACTGCCCGCAGTGCGAACCCGACTCCCAGTTCCGCCGACATGCTGCCAGCTCTCCACATTCCCGGGGGACCGACGCAGAGCCCCAAATCCCGGAGTCCGCGGGCTGAAACCGCCTTCCGGCCCCTCCCAGCTCGCGCCGTGTGGCCCAATCACCGTTCACCACTTAACCGTCTGACCCAATCAACGCCCTAGCAGTGTGGGAACCTCCCCAGAGGCGGGCTTAGCGGACGGACCGCCCCTCGGTGGCGGCCATCTTGGGGAGGTCGCCTGCCGGCGCTGCTGAGGGAAACCTGGGGGTCTCTGGGCCGCTGCCGCCCCCACCCCAAGGGACTTTTCCGAGGTTAAAAAAACCCTGTTCTTCGGGTCCTGCTCCCTTTCGAGATGTCTTGCCAGGTTTGCTGGTCTCTGGGTTTCGAATGACTGTGGGCTAACGTTTCCGGGCGCAGGGACCAGGATGAGAAGCCGCTGGAGAGGGCGGTGGCTTTAAGTGTGTCACGTGATGCTTGTGAGCACCCGCTCGGTGATGTAAAAGAAAACTCCTAAGGACACGGCAGGATCAAATGCATGGTGCTTTCGATTTCAGATCATTGCTAATAGAAATACAACGTAATCCCCATATGTCATTTAAAAATCCCTCATAGGCACATACAAAGTAAAACTATTTTAATTATGTATTTGACTTAATTTATTCAAAGCAAGATTTCAACATTCAAAATCAATCAGAAAACTAAATGAGATATTTTAATTTTTAAAACCATACTTCGTTTCCGAAGTCTAGTGTACGGTTTTGACTGACAGTGTGCCTCAGTTTTGGCTATCCATGTTTCCAGTGGTCAGTGGCCACTTGTGGTTGGTGCTACCTTATCAGAGGAGGGCACAGGTGTCTTTAGACAGTCCAGCATGAGCTCAGCACACCTCAGTTGGGTTCCTTTTTTTTTTTTTTAAATGAAGCAGGGTCTTGCCATGTTGTCTAGGCTGGGCTCGAACTCCAAGGCTCAGTTGATCCTCCTGCCTCAACCTCCTGACTAGCCGGGACCTCAGACGTGTGCCAACATGTCCTCAGTTCAATTCTGGAGTCTTCTTTGTGTCCAGCTCTGGGGCAATATAGTCATACATTTAATGAGGAGCCAGACATACAAAATTAACACAGAATACTAATAGGTGGTGAAATAGCAGGTGCTGTGGGGAAAGTACACAGAGATCAGCTGTGTTAAGGAAAGCACTTTTGGCAGCAGTTACTGTTGGAAAGTTCTCAAACATTAATTCAGCTTAATGGAGTGGGATGCTGTTGTGTTACTGAAAGGGCTAACGTTTGCTCTCCAGGTTATCTTGTCTTGAGATGACTGAGCTTACTTTAGAGACTTCTAGAAAGAAGGAACAATATTTTACTTCTCTCACACCTCTTCCCACACTTCAGGAACAGGAATGGAATTTCACATGTTCTGCTTTGGGAAAATCGCTTGAGCAGAGCCTCAAGTCCTTGCAATAAAGGACTTCTTTTTGGAAAGTCTCTGGTCATTTACCATAGTTATCTGTAAACTGGGCTCTCTGTGAAGTAGGATTACCAAAGACAGGAGTAATTGTGTTCAAATAAAATGTCTCTGGACTTGATCCATTTCTACTCCAAAGTGATAAAAATTTAAAAATGAGGCCAGGTTTGGTGGCTCAGCCTGTAACCCCAGCACTTTGGGAGGCTGAGGCAAGAGGATCGCCTGAGCCTGCTGGTTTGAGACCAGCCCAGGCAACTTGGCGAGACCTCATCTCTATAATAAATAAATAATAAAAAAATTAGCCAGCTGAGGAGGATCACCTGAGCCTAGCAGGTCGACACTGGGGTGGCTGTGAGCATGCCACTGCACTCCAACCTGGGTGACGGAGTGAGACTCCCACTCAAAAAAAAAAAAAAAAAAATTAAAAATGACTAGAATAGCCCTTTGTGGTGTGAACATAATAGATGTTTGCTGTAGATACAAAGTTGGAAGGAGCTAGCCAGAAGTAAGTGGGAGGAACAAAGGGGATCACGGTGAAGGGATGTGTAGAGGAAGGACTGAGTGAGCATGAAATACCTTAAGTGACATGCTATTTGGAAAACATTTTAAAAACCATAAATACCTCACAGCTCTAGGGAATATATAATCCAGATAACAGGTATCCAGGTGATAGGTTGCTATGAAAAGTGGTAGTAGCTTCATTTAATATTTCAGGTCTCTTTTTGAAATACAGGGTAAGGTCATCCTCCCACCCCCTTATCCATTCAGTGAGCATTTACTGTGGCATTACTCTGTAAAGGTACCCTGGGAGAGACCAGGATGAGTAAGAGAGGCTTTACTGTGGATTTCTAAGATGCTTTCTATCCCTAACATTCCTATAACCTTATGAAAAAATGGAAGTGGAGACAAAAAAGATCATGGTGACCCCAGATCATTTCACTTTTCAGTTTCTTTACTCCTTAGTTGTACTTTTGAATTAATTTTATTTCACTTTTTTCTTATTATATTCTTTTTAAATTTCTTCTCTTCCTCTTCTTGGGACATCAACCATCCAATTTAACCTTTCATCCTCCTCTACTACCTAATCCTTGATAAATGCAAGTCCAAAATCACTTCATGACCAGTAATTGTCGTTAAATTGCTCCAATAATTTGCATGGGCAAAAGGGAAACGAGAAAGACTAAGTCAAATACCCAGAGGAACCGATTTTATAAACAATCTAAAGCCTAGTATTCTTATTCACCATAGATTGCACCAAGCTTTTAAAACATTCACTTCTGTAGTCTAGCTATGGCCCTGAATTATGAGAAAAACAAATATGGATTTTAAAATTGTTTCCTTCAGAGCCTACTGTTGATTCTTTGGGGAGGGATTAAAAAAAAGATTAAAAAAATAGGAAACTACTGTTGCCTGATTACTTAGCTCTGAACAGAAATAGAGAATGCCCATGTCCCAATGTAAATGAATTCAGGTAGAGTAGCCATGACAGCAATCCCTTCACAAACATGCTGTCACATTTGGCTTTTGAAATGTCAATATAGATTTTAGAACCCCAAACCCAAGGAGGACCTTTAGAGATCATTTGATCTTTCACATAAAAAGAGTGACATTTAAACCATCCCAAACAACATAGATTCCTCCTAAGAGAAGAAAGTGTCATCCATGGTTAATCCCTGGATTGATTTATTTTCTGTTTGTAGATAACTACTTCTCTCCATTTCAAACTTTAGCCAGGCTGATCTTAAGCAAATTATTTTAAAATACCCCATTCTTCAAGATAATTTCCTCTCCTTTGGTCCCTGAGGAGCTAGAATAGGTAGCTGACCATTATGCAACTTTTATAAATGTAAAGTTATTAAATTTCCCTTCTGCCTTTTTTGGGGTCAACCCATGAGCTTCATTTCTTTTTTTTTTTTTTGAGTTGGAGTCTCACTCTGTTGCCCAGACTGGAGTGCAGTGGCCGCTCCCGGCCACCGCAGCCTCAACCTGCTGGGTTCCAGCGATCCTTCCGCCTCAGCCTTCCAAGTGGCCGAAATTACAGGCATGCGCTACCACACCCGGCTGATTTTTTGATTTATTGTAGAGATGAGGTCTCGCTGCCCAGGCGAGTCTCAAACCCGCGGGCTCAGGCAATCCACTCACCTCAGCCTCCCAAAGGCGCAGGATTATAGGCTGAGCCACCGAGCCCGGCTGAACTTCATTTCTTAACTCTTCCCCCCCTTCTGGTTTTAACATTTTGTTTTCTTTTTAGTCTTCCAAGTTTTTTCATTTTTTAAAAAAAATTGGAGACCAGAACTGAACAGTTTCTCTCAACAAGGCCAAACCAGCTTATTTTTTACATATTACTTTTCTGTATAGGTATGTATTTTCAGCAGTGTGTTTGCTGCATTGCAATGTTGTTCCCTTCGTCTATTTGTAATCTTATTCTATTTTTTCACATTTGTTTGACTTTCCATTTAGTGATCCCCACTTAATAGATATGTATTTTCTAGTTTGTTTTTCAATATGATTGAAAATAAGTTATTTGAACACACACGTGCTAGGCATAGTGCAAAAACCCTTCATATGCATGATTTCATATAATTCATTCACCCCATTTCATAGATGAAGAAACTGAAGCTTAGAGAGGTCAAAAGTGGACTCAAGACCACACATCTAGGAAGTAGTACTGTGGTGATTAGAACTCTGACAGTCTGACACTCTTATCTATTAATTGTAAGTTCATATTATTTGTGTACCAGGCTCTCAAATCAATAAAGATTAGGAGCCCCATTATAAAAACCCGAGAAAGCTTAGGCTACGGTTAACAAATAAAAATACAGGATACCTAGTTAAATGTGAATTTCACACAAACAATTATTTTTTAGTATAAGTATGTCCCATGTAATATTTTCAATGATTCATTGTTTTATTTTTATATAAGTTTATCCCATATTTTATCTGGCAACCCTAAGCTGGGCAGCTCAGAGTGGAGACTGGGACTTCCCTACTGAATCGATTATCAAAATGAGTTTTGGGTCAATTCAAAGTATCTCTGTCCTTTGGAGCAGAATTGCAGTGGTGTGTGAATTGTTTAAAATGATAACTCTCTATAACACCTACCAAGAATTATGCCATGTTTACAAATTAGTTTTTTATTGCTTTTATGTTGATAATAGGGACAGATTTTCATCTGAATATATTTTTAGGGAGATCTTGTCCTTAACTCACTAGTCAGGAATGTTTTATTACTTTATGTCACCTATCCTAATATTAGCTATTGCTAATTTTCACTTCAGTAAAAAAGTAAATACAAAGACTCATTTTATTTAGCAAGACTGAAAATAAAACGAAGACAAATTCACAAGAGACCTTTAGTGCTGTCCAAAGCAATTCCTCCAGCTATCAACCCAAGGCAATTAATCCAGTAGTGTATCATTTATAGAATGAGTACTAAAACAAGAATCATTTCTCAGTTACAAATGGGGGTCATTAAGCCCTTGGGGCTCTCGGAAAGTAGTGTTAAACTATTCAGTCACCAGTCAACACAAAAGCAGAAATGGAACCACAAACATAAAATGATTGGCTATTACCTCTTTTATACGAAAACAACAACAGTAGCTAGAACCGTATTGAACAGAAGTAAAGAAGTAGTGGTTAAATTCATAGACACAGAGTATCCACTAGCCAAGGTGTAGTTTATCCTCAAACAGTCAGTAAATATGACCATCTTATTTTCACTATTTACTCTCTTTAAATTGTAAAGTTATCAATGTTGAAAGACACATAGACCCATTGAAACTGCTAAAAATCAAACTGCTAAAGATCATTTATAAAAAAAAATCTTTTTTTGATATATACTAACATTCTTTCAATGATTTACCCCCCCTTGATATGATCACAGATTCCTCCAAATCTATTTTATTTTAGTTATATAAAAATTAATAAGCTTTGGCTTCCTTGCATTCTGCCCTTATATTAAAAAAAGTGATTAAAAACAGTACTGAATATGAATTACTTCTGCAAAGTTTAATGAGAGAGAAACATTCAACCAAGGTGACTTTTCCTTGGAAAAATCCTACAAAAACTGAATTTTATAAACAATTACTTATTTTAATAGAAGTTCCACTTATAAATAGCAGCCATTACTTCACTGCCTGCAAAATTGCAGGCTATCACATTTTACATGTTTAGAATTCAGATGTTTTAAAATCAGATTTTCTAGTAAGTGTTAAAAAAAGGTCACAACGACAGAAGGGTTAGTTGTCCTATGCTAAGGAGAAACCTGACTTCCGTGATTTTACTGTTCAGACAGGTACACATAACCACTGGATTTACGCTGATGGTTATGACAACATTTATATTTTTTGTTTCAAGAGGAAGTGACATTAATGTGGTGATGGGGTGGAAGCAGGACTTTACTCTTGAAGGCTCTTTTGTGGTCAAGGGCCAAGCTATCACAGGATGTTAGTACCAGAGAAGCTTTCAAGTTGAGAGCCTAAGTAAATCAGAAAGGTGGAGATAGCCCAGCTCCTGATTCTTTTGTGGCAAATATGTGTTTTCTGAGGCCCAGGCAGCAAGAGTTTAGAGTATAAGGAGCAGACATATATGGGGACGGGTGCTGGGCATGTGATGCTGCTCCTAACAAGTGATTAATAGAATTGAAGCAGGAGAAAGAAGAATGCATTTTAACAATGGATATCCTATGCTGGTTTTGAGAGACTGACCACTTTCTGCAAGGACTCTTGAGCACACTAAAATCTATCACTCCCAGCGACATTTTGCTGCCTGTACAAAGGGTGACCAGGACGAGTAGTTTGAGAATTCAAAGTCACAGGAATCAGAACAGAAAGAGCAACATTTTAACACTGCCTCTTTCTAGGTAGACCAAATGCCCCCGCAAACTCCTGAGCAAGCTGGTTCAAGTTCAGGGACTATGTGATAAACCAAAAAGACTGGGCATGGGACCAAAAATGAGGTGGGATTTGTGCCAGAAAGTACCATTCATAGATTCACCCAGGGAAGAGGGGTACAGTAGGAGTTTTATTTGGGTGGAAGACAGCTAATAACAAGGCCAAATCATAAGCCAGAGCTGGTCATGGAGGCTACCATTATGTTTGCACTTTAACTACAGATTGCTGCCCTCCACTTAACAATTCTGTACACAACTCATGGGCTGTACAGGCTGGACCCCTACTCTTACCCCCAATCCCCAATTTCAATTTCAGGACCTAAGAACAACCTTTCTTTCATGTTTGCTTTTCCCATCCCGAATCTTCCAGGGTGACTCAAAACTTTCCTGGCTAGTAATGAAAAAGAAAACATTCTGAACAGATTCTGAGGCAGTCATTTCAGCCCAGGGACTTGGGCATGAACTCTGACTTGCCTTTATGGAGCTGTCTCTGGAGAGTAAACATTCAGTTTGAGCCCTGTGTGGCTGCTCGGAGCCCTGGGTTTAAAAACACAGGCTACTCAGTAGGCTCCCTTTTGTCATGATGTCAGAAAAACTTCCAGCACAAGCTAAGGGCTTGGAAGTCACAGACCAGGACATCTCTTGGCCAACCCTTCTTTTCTCTTCATACACCGTGTCAGAGCTCTTCACTGTAGAATCTCCACAATGATAAATAGACACTTCATACTCTGCTGAACTATGCACTGCTGAGCCACAGCAGGGGCTAATAGGTATAAGGCTCTCATTTCAGCAGCTATTAAGACACTTGAGTTGTTTGTTCCTGTCTTCTTGATGCTGAGTGGAACCAATGAACAGATTGTGAAGGAAAAAACCAAATCATAGGTGAAAAGTTTAAAAAGAATTATGTGGTAGTGACCAAGTTCTGACTCTAGAAATGGAGCCAGAAACCACCACTCTGAGTCCTAGGGCAAGTAGCGAAGTGTATAGAAAATCTTGCAAAACCTAGCACCAGTACTTCCTTATGAGGGCTCAAGAAAGCACGCCTCTGAAATAACTCAAACATGTGCTGACAAAAATGCCAGGAAGGTCAAACATTTTCTGTAGCTGTTTCTCCACAGCCTTCCTGGCAAACTCACAAGCACATATTTGCTCAGTTGCTGAGCCTCACCCACAGACATCTCCCACCTTGGAGGCAGGGGTGAGAACACTGGACTGCATTTTCCCAAATAAGGGAAATCAAACCACGTGGAGGCAGCACTCTGCCTTTCTTCCACTCCTTATTGATAGCATCCCTAATCAAGCCAGCTTCAAAGGACAAAATTAGTGTCTGGAAGTCAGAGGTCAAACCCATGATTTACAAATCTTATCAGAAGTCACATAACCTACTTACCTGAATAACACCCCGAATCATCAATCCCCACCCTCCTTTCCTGGGAAGGGAGTAGATTTAAGTCCATTTTTTTTCACCATAGTAGCTTGAAGAGAGTCAAAGAAGGTAGTATGGGAGCGAGAAACATTTCGGTTCATCTTAAAAAATAAAGATCTTAAGTGTCATCTGAGGTTGTATAAAATTATTTTTTCTCAGTTCTCCTTAGTGGCTGCCTCCAAGGGCTCATCTTCTAAGCTAAAGCTCAGCTTGTCAGCTAGCCCCTCAAACTGCTTGCCCAGATTGCCTGCGGAGTCCATGAACATGTTAGGAATGTCTTTGCCAAAGTAAATCTTGCTGTTGGAAGCAATGGCCTTGTACTTCATCAGCTGCAGATATTCAGGGGTCAGCTTCAGCTGTTCAAGGAAAAAAAAAAGAAAAGTAAGAAGGATTTAGGTAGAACTACATTAGAGAAATTTAGGGTGGGAGCCCTTCAATTTTCACACAGAGAGGCTCTCTGTTAGATTTGTGGCCCTACCTACTTGTTGAGGTCTCACTGTAACATCAGTAATAGGGTTAAGAGAAAGTCATCTCAGGACTTCAAGACAGAACTGCAAGTTTTAAAAGTTTCCATGTTATCAAGGCACTGCTAAGGAAAAGGGAAGTACCTGTCCCACACAGCACAGACGTCCTCAGTTCTGGCTGTGAGGGGCTTTGAGTGGTGGTGGACGTTCAACAATGTAAATCTCAAGCAATAAACTCTAAACTAAAGAAACCTCTTCACTGGGCTAAGCCAGGCCTTTACCTTGTTGGCTTCGGCTATTTTCATAGCGGTGTAGCACTCAGCATCCGCCTTTGCCTTCTCCCGGGCCAGAAATGCAGCATCTGAGGGGAAAGAGTGCAGTGAACTAGGTGAAGTGCAAAAACTGTCTTTGCAGGAAGTTCCGGGGCTGTCACTTTCCCAATTGCCTGTGACCTTGGGGAGATTGCTATTTTTCTCTGCTTTGGCTTCCTCACCTATGAAGCTGGGACAAAGGCATTTTCCCCCTTGTATAAGGTGTTGTAAGGATCAACCAAGATGAAAAAGTGCTCTGAAAGCATCTCCCTATGATGGAACAACTGAAGAGCTAGTTTGTTGTTGTGACCCAAACATACGCTTTGACAGCATGATCGAAAAAAGCACTGCTGCCCAGAGACATGTCCTGTATCAAATGCTTGCTTCTTTTGTAGCTTCACATCTGCAAAGCAAAGCAGTGGGACCTGGCCTCAGACTCCAATTCCAGAGCTCTCCGCTTATCCCTCTTGTGCTACACAGCAAAAGCAAGGGAAGCCAAAGAAGGCTCTGAATACGGCCAAGGTGGATCCACCCTACAGCTGAATGCCATAAGCACAGAATAGTTCAGTCCCTCTCCACCTTCATCTCCCTTTTATTTCCATCAATCGTTTCAAAAACTTTCTAATGAACAGTGATTAAGCAGGCACAATTCTAAGAGAGAATTACATGCCATGGGCCAGACCAACACCTGTTTGGATTAAGACCTACTTAATTCCACTGTGCGAGCAATATACTTCCCTAATCAGCTCTGAGACTAGCTTTCTGTCAAGCTGCTGCAAAAGTTTTGTTATTTACCCCTTGCCTTGGGAAGGAGGCAGTCTCAAGTGAGTAATATTTGCAGCAAAGTGCCTGAGGAGGAAGGTCAGTCTGTGGGTGGGTTCTTCCTGCGTGCCCTCAATGTGACCCTGGGAGGAAGGAGCCCGCAGTCTGGCTGGGCTTCTGGCTGCCGTGTGGCTGGCCAGCTCAACTGGCCGTAGCGCTTGATGACATGTATTTATGAGAAATAAAAACGTGTTGCTTTGCTAAGAGCTCCCTAATGAGGAGCCGTTGATCTGTGAAATCCTAATTGGCTCCTCAATGGGCTTCTGCAAAGGCTGACAGGCCCCATAATGAATATAATTGGACACAACCCTTTGCAGCCTGAAGTTGGGCCTTGAGGTCCCATTTTTGTCTTGGAATTTGCTTGACATCAGGCACCAAATGAAGTGAAAGGTGGGAAGGAGGTGCAGGCTTAGGAGCAGGAACAGAAGGAGAATGATATTCAGAAAAGCCAGCCAAGAAAACATTTCTCTCCAGCTTCAATGTGGCTGGTGCTGACAAAGTGTCTTCTTCGAAGCCTGTTTAATATCTACACAGACCTGGAGAGCAGACTTGAATCACAAAACCACATGCTGACTGACTTCGGAGGAGGGGTAGCTACAGCACGACGGAGGAGAGCTGCTGCGCTGGCAGCTGCTGAGCTTACCCCACTGCTCTAGAGCCCCGCCAGCCTGTGGACACCAAGACAGCGGGACCACGTACTTTCCTTTTTCTCAGTCCTAACAAAAAGTCTGGCACACAATGGCACTCAGGCCATATTTGCTGAATGAACAAATGCTCTCTGAAGTAGGAAACAGATTCTGGCCTAGCCAAAATCATCTTGAAACTCGAGTCTAAGCAGTAGAAAAGCTGATGTTGCAGAGAAACCGTGACATCCTAGAACAGATTACAGGGCAAAGGCAATGATTCTCTCACCCACCAGCCACAGGCCGGGGTTTGAGGAGATACAGGCATGAACGCCACTTCTGCTCACCTTCAATTTCTGAAATCTTCTTCTCAGTCTCCTTCTCCATCACCTTCTGCCCATAGGTGATTTCAGCAACCTGAGCCACTTTTTCTGCCTCTGACAGATGACGTTTAGAAAAGACTTAGAGCTCTGGTATTTCAGTAGTTCAATTCATTTCACCCTTCACCTGATCTGAGTGTCCTGCTGCATGGGGTGGGTAAGCTCAGCTGGAAAGTGACTGCCCTAGAGGGCAGCTGTGATAGGACCATGTGGACAGAAATGGGATGTGCCAGTGAGCACACTCCATCAGTGTGAGACAGTAACAAAGCAGACCTGGACCCAAGTGAGGCGGAACAGGCCCTAACTTCTCTCCTAAGTCACAAGAGTGCTTCTCCCAAAGGAATATTCTATAGAGTAAGGTCCTTTCTAATAAGGTTCTACCTGATACTTCACTTTAGAAAGTAGCCAGGTTGGTTGTTTTTATTTATTTTTTTGAGTTGGAGTTTCACTCTGTCGCCCAGGCTGGAGTGCCGTGGTATGCTCACAGCCACCCCAGCATCGACCTGCTGGGCTCTGGTAATCCTTCTACCTCAGCATTCCAAGTAGCTGGAACCACAAGTGTGCGCTACCACACATAATTTTGAATTTATTGTAGAGATGAGGTCTCGCCAAGTTGCCGGCTGGTCTCGAACCTGCAGGCTCAGGCAATCCACTTGCCTCAGCCTCCCAAAGTGCTGGGATTATAGGCTGAGCCGCCGAGCCCGGCCTAGTTGTTGATAATATAGTGCAGTGATTAAGAACACAGGTTCAGGAGCCAGAGTTCCACCACTCACTTGCCATATGATCTGGGGTGTTTCATTTTACCTCTCTGTGCTTCAGTTCAATAAAATGAAACCTCATTTAACCAATCATTAACCACTGATAGTACAGTCCTACCTCAGAGAGTGGTAGTGAGAATTGAGTTAATTCATATTTTAAGTGCTTAGAAAAGTATACAGCTCAGTAAGTGTTAGCCATTATTATGAATTGAGAATTAACAGGAAGAGCTCCTTTTATATAAGAGATATGCGAAACTCAAAACTCATCACCCCTGGCCATGATCTGCCAATATCAACTGTGCTTCTGGAAGTCTAAAAACTACTCCTGGGCTGTGGAGATGCTTACTTAGACTGTGTGGTCTAAGCATGCCTAAGCCTTCCTTGCATCTTCCCACCATCCCAGCCCTTCCACCCTGAAAGGGGATCACAGAATCACATTCAGACCAATGAGGGCTTTCTTCCGCTCCGTCTCAGCTTCTTTCTCCACCACCTTCTGTTTCTGGGCTGCAATGAGAAGCTTTGTCTTCTCACTTTCCCTGAAGGAGAAAAGAGCATGTAGCTGTAAGGCTGTAAGAAAAAACCTTTTGAGAAGCTTTGCTGCCCCTGGAGAAGTCAAACTCTTCGGCTGAGGAGAGGCAAACTATGATTTCTGACTCTCTTCTGGAAGGCTATTCAATGGTCCAGGCAAAAGCTGATCTGTTGCAGGCAGTAACACGGTTCTTCTCCTCCTCCAAAATAACTCATTTGTGGGAAATAAAACCTAATTTACTTTAGTAAAATTCACCTGCCTGTCCATGGACTCATCTCTCTAGCTCTACCTTTGGCATGAGCCATTGAACACAAACAAGGCCCCCTGGCCCTTTTAAAGGCATCGCTGCTCTAAAGGGCTTCTCTTGGGGTTCTCCATCACGGTTAAGGAGCCCTGGTGAAAGCCCTGACACACCTGCCCAATCTTACTGTGCAGTGGGCTCTAACAAATACTTAAGCAAGGGAATAACTGAAAAGCCCGACTCAGCTTCAGGTGGTTCTGGGATGGGGTGAGGTGGGAGATGGGAGAGAGTGGTGGTCACAGCCCAGGTGCAGGGCATACTCACATCAACTCGTAGTTTCTACGGATTGCCTCGGGGATATTGGGCTTTGTCACCCGCACAGCCTGGAGAAGGACAAAAATAGCAGCTGATGGGAAAGTGAGGGTGTTAGGGGACACACATAGCTTCCACTGGGCCTTGATCTCCCTTTGTAAAAAGGACATCCCTGGGAAGAGGGGACACATCGTCAGAGAGAGGAGACTCTTCTGTGACAATGCTTACTTGGATGACAAGCCCAGGGGCCATGGAGGTGAGGTCCTGTTGCAAAGCCAATTTGAGATTTTCATCAATTTGATCTGGAATTAAGAAAGACAGAAAAAGGAGGTGTTACACTTTCTAATGGGGGAGGGGGCAGGTGAGGGTAAAGTACAAGTTCAAACACCAGCTCAAAAATGGACCTTACAGACAAAGGTTTTCCCAAGGTAGTATACTTATTAAAGTATACTTATCAAAATCCAGAAATCTAAGGACACTCTGTAAGATTTCTGGAGCAGCATGCCTAAGAAGCCCTCTATGCAGCTAAACGTAAGGGTATCCTTTTTCTATGGCCTCAATATAAAATCACTTTTGTTGCTGAAAATATCAACCATGGCCTACAGGGGATCTGAGCTTAAAAAAAAAAAAAAAGAACAAGCAATTCTAGCACATTACTTGTGTAAGGGAGCATCTTTCCCTAGACAATAGCAGCAAAAGAGAAAGAAGGCTCACAGTTTTCATAAAGAAGGAAGGTGGGATGGCTATGTTTGTTCTTTTGAAAAGAGCTGAGCACATTAAATCTAGTAATTTTAGAAGTTTCTAAAAGAAAAACAGATTCTGACAGATTCTCAAGGAGAGTCCCAACGAAGACTGTTTCTACTAGGAACTCCATCAAACAAGGGGAAAATTAAAATTTACAGTTCTGGAAGTAAGCCCAAGTCTTTTGATGTGCTGTTTGCTTTGGTCCCGATTCCTTTGTCTGGAATTCACATGTGAGTCGTTTCACAGACAACTGTAGGAACAGCTAGCTATAACTGACTCTCCCTGCCTCCGTTTCCAGCTGTGATCTCAGAGCAGCAGCACCAAAGCTGCCTCCTCTGGTCTCGGCCTTCTCAGGGTTTTATAGCTCTCCTTCTTGTCTTCTGCCTGTGAGATCCCCATAAGATCCTGGAAGGGCTCAGAGAGAGACTGAATGAAACCAGGCTAGGACTTGGAAATTTAGTTGCCTCCCTCATTGCCAGCTGCCATCTGCTTTAAGTGGTCATTTCTTGGTCACTTGTGCCAAAACAAGAGCCTCTGAGGAAAAGTTTCCTTTCCCTCATACATGCCAAAACTGAGGCCCACAGAAGCTAGCTAGTAGCCAAAATAACAAGCCCGTTTAATTACTGTGCTTTGATTGTTAGGATTTTAAAACGGTACTATCAGCAAGCAAGGGACTGTAACATTTCTGTATATTAGATGTGCTCTCACAAGCCTGTGAGCACTGAGGAAGAAATGCCATAAAGTCAGCACCTCCCACCTGAAAGGGGTCTAACAATTTAACAACTAGAAATAAATATTGTATTTCATATTTGTATTTTATTTTATTTCATTTGTTTTGAGTTGGAGTCTCACTCTGTCACTGAGACTGGAGTGCAGTGGCTGCTCCCGGCCACCGCAGCCTCGACCTGCTGGGCTCCAGTGACCCTTCCGCCTCAGCCTTCCAAGTAGCTGGAACTACAGGCACGCGCTACCACGCCCGGCTGATTTTTTGATTTATTGCAGAGATGAGGTATCGCCAAGTTGCCCAGGCGGGTCTCAAATCCGTGGGCTCAGGCAATCCACTCACCTCAGCCTCCCAAAGTGTGGGATTACAGGCTGAGCCACCGAGCCCGGCTCATATTTATATTTTAAATAGAATGCCAACCAAGCTTTAAATAAGATGGCTTGTACCCTCTGTAAGTTAATAAGTCATTTATCAGACTAAATTATATCTGAGTCAGGATGGAAACCTGTAGTCCTGGGCTAGTGACTTATTGGGAAAATATGGAAGAAATATTTTGCAAAATGTTTCAGTAATTCTGATAAATAAGTTGTTTCTATGTTATGGAAATGTTGATAAATGCCATTTAGGTTATATTACTAAGTAATCATAAAGAGGTTCTTCAGGGGAACTTCTGAACAAGTATTAGGTAATTTTTGTAAAAAATGAGCAGAGTAAGAAGTGATGGAAATTATGCAGAACGATGTTTCTAGCTGGGGTTATAAGAGTCCTGAGAGGAGAGAGCCACAGAAGCAGCTTCTGAGTTCAAGGATCATGGTTAGAGACATGAGCTGGTCCTTTGTGGGTGCAAACAGAGTCTAAGCAAAATAGTGCTTGCCAGCAAGACCGAAATTTTTTTAAAAGTTTCAAATCAGATCCATTTCCCTAGCTCCTCTATATAGAAATCTATACTTCACTACCATACCAAGTTTATCTGCAAGACAGGAAGAAGTTTTCTAATGTAAAATGATCTAGTATTTTAATTTTCTCTTCAGGGACATTAGTAATCCTTTGTCTTTTGTTTTTCATATGATTTGAAATGTTCATGCAATGGCAAAGTCCTAAAACAATGGGTAGAGAGAAAATTAATATTTTATAAAATTCTATTAGTTTGAGGTAAAAAAATCAATAGCAAATTTAAAACTTTTTTTCTTAAAATCACATTGATTCCAAAACTGGTGAAGTAATAAAAACCCTATAAAGTGAATTCAGACTGATTTCTACTGCAGAAAAATTAAAAGTGATTCTGATGGTTTTATTATTCCTGTGGTCAAAGCTTGACCACCTAAAGATTTTCCATTGTTATCAACATTCTCTAGGAACTCCCTCTGTGACTAGCCCCTAAGCACTAGATTCTTTGTTGTTTTTTTTGAGTTGGAGTCTCAGTCTGTCGCCTAGGCTGAAGTGTGGTGGCATGCTCATGGCCCACTGCAGCCTCAATCTACTGGGCTCAGGCGATCCTTCCAAGAAGCTGGAACTACAGGTGAGCACCACCATTCCTGGCTAATTTTATTTATTTATTTACTGTAGAAGCGAGGTCTCGCCAAGTTGCCCATGCTGGTCTTGAACCCCTGGGCTCAGGCAATACTCTCCCCTCCTCTTCCCAAAGTGCTAGGATTACAGGCATGAGCCAATGTGCCAGGCCCAGCACTAGATTCTTTAACATTTCCTGTCTATAAGTACCCATGCTACCCTGTAGGTAGCTAGGAATTAGGTAGTGGAGGGAAGTAGAACTGCTAAGCATAGCATGATTAGGAGACTTTCTCACCAAACAGCTCGATGTAGACCTCTTGAAGTGTGTGCACACTGCAGAACTGGTTCAGTTCGTGATGGATTTTGTTGAAAATGAGGGCCTTGTCATAGTCAGCAGTATAGTTCTTCACTATATCATACACTGGGAGGGAAGGAAGGGATTCAGCATAAGAAAAGGCAAGATTCAACACTTTCTCCAACATAGAGGAAGCTCTTCCTTCCTGAAGTGTCATGACAGACATGGAGGTGGCATGCTGGGGAAAGTAAGCTGGTGGTAAGAGTAACCTGAAGACGTACCTGCATTTGGGACCAGGAAGTTCACCACTTCAATTCTGTCAAAGTAGATCATCACACCACCACTGTTGGAGGGAGCATGGACAAATAAGTCACAAGTAAGATCTGGAATATGGTGTAGTCTCCTAAGGTGGTGGCACAAGAAGTGTGACTTGGCAGAAAAGGAATAGAAGGGTTCATGGGAGCTTGGGAGGCATCACGATCTCCAAGTTGGAGAACTTCAGAGCTTACAGCAACAGCGCTATCTCCTGAGAAATCACACCACCTAAAAATATCTTCACAAGACACAAGTGAGACTTCTGTGGTGCCAGTATGAAAAGAGGGGTTCATATCTTTTGAATCAGCAATATCTTTTGATTAAAGCAATCAATTGCAGGGAAAAGACTCTCTAAGTCAAGAGGTTTCCAGAACTTACAAGGTCACTGGGGAATTTTATGGTCAATGTGTCAATGTTTCTTTCTTTCTTTTTTTTTTTTTTTTGAGTTGGAGTCTCACTCTGTCACCCAGACTGGAGTGCAGTGGCCGCTCCCGGCTACTGCAGCCTCGACCTGCTGCGCTCCGGCGATCCTTCTGCCTCAGCCTTCCAAGTAGCTGGAACTACAGGCATGTGCTACCACACCCGACTAATTTTTTTATTTTTATTGTAGAGATGAGGTCTCACCAAGTTGCCCAGGCGGGTCTTAAACTCGCGGGCTCAGGTAATCCACTCACCTCAGCCTCCCAAGGCGCGGGATTACAGGCTGAGCCACTGAGCCAGGCTGGTCAATGTTTCTTATATTGTCTTCACTATCACTTTAGTTCAGCACTACCTTTGCCCTCAAATATTTATTACATTAAAAACTGAAAGAATTGTACAACTGACTCCTATATTCTAACACTGATAACATTTTACCTTACTAGTATACTTTTTATGCTGAATATTTCAAAATAAGTTGCAGTTATGATACTTTACTCCTTAACACATTAGCAAGCATCACCTAAATAATCATATTCACCTACATAATCATGATACTCTTCCCAAATCTAAGAAAATTAGCAACAATTCCTTAACCTAATACCTAGTACTTATTCAGATTTTCCAAACAGTTTCTGTTATGGACTGAATTGTGTACACTCTGCCCCCAAATTCAAATGTTGAAGCCTTAACCTCCAGTGTGACTATATTTGGAAATAAGGCCTTTAAGAAGGTAATCAAAGTTAAAATAGCATGGTCATAAGCATGGAGATCTCTTTCTCTTTTCTTGCATGCACAGAAGAAAGGCCATGTGAAAACACAAAAAAAAGGAGCCATAAGTGATCCAGGAAGAGAAACCACCCCTGCTGGCACCCTAAACTTGGACTTTGGGATTCCAAAACTGTGAGAAAATGAACGTCTGTTGTTTAAGCCCCTAGTCTGTGATATTCTGTTATGGTGGCTGGAGCAGACTCACACAGTTCCCATGACGTGTTTTATAGCTGTTACTTTTGAACCAGGTTCTAATCAAGGTTCCCACTGCATTTGTTTGTCTCTTGAAAGTCTCTTTTTCATCCAGTACCCCTCTAAATACAATGACTCTTGAAGAGATCAGGTCAGTTATCTTGTAGGACATTCTAATTCTGGAGTTGTCAGAATGTGTTGTTGTAGTATTACTTGTTCATCTATCCCAGTTTAGACTCTCTTTGCATTTCAGTTGTACCACTGTGATGATGTCCTCTCTGGATCTCCTGCCCCAGAGGTCTCCTTTACCTTTATGACACTTGCCTTAGTTATGCTAAAGCTACCTTTTTGTGTCAGGTCACATATCTGCCAAAAAACCTTTAGTGCATCCTCACTTCTAACAGAGTAAGTGCAAACTTCTTATCACGGCATTCCAGTCCCTCCTAGACCTCTGATTTTCTCTACTGTACTTCCACCTGGTTAAATCAGCATATAGAGAGCTAGGGGACAGGGAACTGGGTAAAACCACCAAGAAAGCATGCCTCCTTTTTCATTGCCTCTTCCTGCAGCCAGCCAGCCCTTCCTCTTTGGGGCTTAACAGCTTTATCCTGGGTGCCTTACCTAGTCCCACAAGGAACATTCTTCACCTCATCTGTCTGGAGTGTGGTCTGGAAACAGAGGAAACATAAAATGCTGGAAGATGGGCAGTGACAAGTAAAGCAACTTACTTTTCAGAACTTCAAATGCCCTTGTCCTTGAATAATTGTTAGGGTTGAGCTCTGCCTTTGATAAACATGATTACCCACCTAATCCTCCTTCTTTACAGGGAGTGACTGATAAACCAAGCAAAGGACTACCCCAGCCTCACAGTTAGTGAACCACTCTATGAACAAGCTGAATAATGGTTTAGAGAAGACCCTGGTTTGGGAGTTGTCTGACTTGTGCTTGCTTCTTTTTTTTTTTGAGTTGGAGTCTCACTCTGTCGCCCAGACTGGAGCGCAGTGGCCATTCCCGGCCACCGCAGCCTTGACCTGCTGGGCTCCGGTGATCCTTCCGCCTCAGCCTTCCAAGTAGCTGGAACTACAGGTGCGCACTACCACATCCGGCTAATTTTTGATTTATTGTAGAGATGAAGTCTCGCCAAGTTGCCCAGGCGGGTCTCGAACCCACGGGCTCAGGCAATGCACTCACCTCAGCCTCCCAAGGCGTGGGGTTACAGGCTGAGCCCCTGAGCCCGGCTTTGTGCTTGCTTCTATCTCTTCTATGTATAGCAGCCCTGTTATCCATAGGGCATACATTCCAAGACCTCCAGCAGATACAGGAAACTGCGGATAGTATCAAACCCTAGATATACCAAGTTTTTTGTTTTGCTTTGTTTTGTTTTTAGTTGGAGTCTTACTCTGTTGCCCAGGCTGGAGGTCAGTGGCATGCTCACGGTCACCACAGCCTTGACCTGCTGGGCTCAGATGATCCCACTGACTTAGCCATCCCAGTAGCTGGAACTGCAGGTGTGTAACACCATGCCCAGCTAATTTTTTCATTTACTGAAGAGATGAGGTCTTGCCAAGTTGCCCAGGCTGGTCTCGAACCCCTGGGGTCAGGCAATACTCTCGCGTCCACTGCCCAAAGTGCTGGGATTACAGGCATGAGCCATCACGCCTGGCTCCAAGTTTTGTCCTATACATACCTACCTGGGATAAAGTTTAATTTACAAATTAGGCATAGTAAAAAGATTAACAAGTAATAACATAGAACAATTATAGCAACATACTATAAAAAAATTTATGTGAATGTGGTCTCTCTCGCTTGAAAAATATCTTAAAACTGTACTCACCTGTTTTTCAACTGTGGGTAACAATCTGCAGAAAGTGAAACCGCAGATAAGGGGATACTACTAATTTTGAAACCGCAGTTTCCTTATTTCACCTGTCTTAGACTGTAACACCTGCTCAGCCCATTCTCAGGATTACTGTGAGACTCAAATGAAATAATGTGCCCAAATGCTCTTTGAAAGCCATAAAGCACGGGAAACAGCAGAAGAAACAGAAAAAAATGCCTAGGAAGTATCCCAGAACATTCTCCTGGATTAGTTTAAAAGTCATTCTCAAAATCTTAATCTTCTTAGCTGGACACACTTCAGAGATGGCTAGTTCAGCTCAGCCAGGTTTTAGATCTGTCACAACTAATCTCATTCCTATTGTAGATGTCATTCCCTATCCCCCCCGCCACC